AAATCTGCTCTCTTTTTGAAGATCCCATGAATTTCCTAGAGGAGAACTTATACATTCAGATTATATAGAAAAAAAAAATCCTTGAAAACACATGGCATGCATTGCTTTCTAATTGTGTGCATTTCACAAGTTTTGACCAAAAAAGTCCCCTTTGCCAAATATATAGCAATATTTATTTGGCTAATTAACTGGTACTCAATAATTCAACACCAACTACTTCATTACTTTTCTCTGGCTAATCTATCCCAGCAAAGATATATTGGTTTTGCCTAAGTAAAGCCTCCTAACCATTCTTACCATTTCCACCCTGGCATCTCAGACATATTAGAGTGATGAGTGGTCAGTGATAAGGAGCAGAGGAGCAGGGAGGAGGGAAAAGAGAGAGCAGACAAGGCAGGTGTTACCAAAAGAATTAGGACAGCAGCCTCTGGTTGTTAAAATCAGGACTCAGCACCTGAGTTCTAAACTCTGGTCTATCACTAAGTGACTCGGGCATCCGTTTATTCAGCTATAAAGTGAATTAGGTAGATTCGACTATTGCTAAAGTTCCCACTAGCTCTGAAGTATTGCATTGCTCTCTCTGGCCTAAGACCTCTTTCCCTTTCAATTGAAACCCCTTGTTAAAAAAACAAAAGGTATCACTGATTTGTCCCAAATGTCACAGACTATATGCATCATCTCTAGCTACATCCTGGGAAGACCAGAAGCTCCAACGAGGCCTTAAAACTGGCCTCTTCCAGATCGGAAAGGGAATAAGAGCTGAGACACAGTCATGAGGACTATAACTGCAGTCTTCAAAAATAAGGCCTGCACATGTCTACTTTGTAGAACAGCCTGGCTGACTTTTGACCTGACTCATTATTATTTGAAGCAGCTTACTGACACTGCCAATTACATCACACATAATAGAACACACATCTTGTAATTGAACCACAGATAGTGCCAAGCAACATAAAGAATCCAGGAAATACATACTTAAAATGTAAACTGCTCAAACAGTAGGGCTACTGAAGGATCTGGAAGTACGTATGCAAACTGCTTCTCTGAGGCTAACTAGCTACAGTTAAGGATTCTTCCGTGGCTGCTGCCATGATCTTGCTTTTAAAAGCCTCAATAACTTCTCAAGACATCACATTAAACAAAAGGCCACATCTATTTCCTCCAGTAAAGACTTAACCTAATATTACTGGATATGTTTAGGACCTAGAAAGAAAGCATGCCTTCCAGAGGTTAGGAAAAAAAGAAACACAGCCTTTGAGAATGAGTAGGTACCACTCTAATCTGAAGCTTGTACTGTCCTTTTCAATCGTTGCAGAGAAACAATTAATAAAGGAACCCATTAAGACCTGATTATTGCTGCTAAAAAAGGAAGGTAGAATTTCAGTCCTTTGAAGTAACTGAGAATGATTCAGGCCTCATTACAGAGATATAATCTACATTCATACATTTATGTTAGTGATTCAAATCTATTGGGAGAGATTGAATTCCGTTAAATAGTGCATCTTTCCTGTGGAACTTTTCTCAGGCTTTCTCGGGCTAACCTAAGAGGTGACCTAACAATGAAAAGCAGTGGAGTATTTAGGGATTCAACTGTGCTATAAAAGAAAGGCTGCACAGAAAAGAAAAAGAAGAATGAGATATAATCTAAAAAGCTATGTCAGCTTTTCCTTTGGGCTGTTTTGTAAATGCCCTTACTGTCATCACGCTGTACAGAAGAACGGCGAGGGGACTCCAGAACTTTTAAACACTGCACCTGCTGCAACCAGATTTTAATATGGACGTTTGATGATGTGTTTTTCTCCCCATTTCAAACAGAATAAAAACACAAAACCTCTCACAAAGATCTGAATAGCTTTCTCTGCTGGAGCAGAAAGTTGGTGGATATGGGGAATGAGGGGGGAGGAAGGGAGACTACCTTCAGGGTAGGAGGGAGTGTCTATTGTGAGTTTTAAACAAAAAAATTAAAAGGATCTCAAGCTGGCATCGATAGTGTTGATGCCCAGTGTACAGAAACCTCAAATAATAACTTCCTGTACTTTGTAACTTTTCACAGCAGAATCTTTACTGTATGATTTCATCAAACATGTTAAAAAAAAAAACATGCAGTTTTAATTAGTTGTCAATTGAAACATTTGTATTCTACTGAACAATTGGACTGAAACTCAAGTCCCTTAGAAACACTACACTCTCTTTCAGGCATTTGTTAGCTCAGGTATAAAACTGTGAACTAGAAAATTAAAATTAGCACAGTGATTTCATTTTTAAACATCCATGCTTCAGTGAAAGAACAAAACTTTAAGCATACATATGATGTATGCTCTTTATTTGTTTAACTTTCCAATTAATAGCTACAGAAATTAGAACTAATTATATTACATTAAAAACCCTACTGTGGTGTTCACGTTGTCAAAATCTTTTCAGTAAGCATTGCAATTGGTTATAAACAATGCAATTAAAATTCTGATTCTAGCATTACAGGGTTCTATTTCAAAGGCCCTGAATGCATAGGAAAATGTAAGCACATGCATATAAAGTCATTTTTTCAGGTCACTAAACAACATAATTGGGCAATCATTCCTAATGCCCATCTCTAAAGCTAGATTTTTTATTTCTTTGTATTTTCTTCCATTCACAATGAAGACTACGGTCAAAGGCACGTTACAGGGATTCTGGCTCATAGTATAGACACAAGCACTTCTAATTAGTTCCCTCCAAATTACAGTTGCAGAGATGCAACTCCCAAGTTCACCTTGAAGTGATTCTCCATCTTAGAATAGCAATCTAAATATTAAGTAGAACCATATGAAATTACCACTTGGGAAGGTCAAAAAATATAAAGTAGTGGCAATTTCATATGCTTCCCCATAAGGCTAATGTCCAGCTGCCTTACAGAACATAAATATTTTATACCATCACATCTTCAGTAACTCCCTCCAGTCAAGCCTTCCCTCCTTCAGAGAAATCCTAGTAGGGATCCTCTAGGAACGATCTCTTACTCGTATTGGAACCGATTATCAGAGTTTTTCCCTCTCGTGCCTCTTAATTCTTGGCAAGGCTTCCTAGCCAGGGATTTGGTCCTGTCTACACCTGGGTTGCGGGCATTGCTAGCGACGAGGGTGTTTCAAGGCGGTGAGTGCGGGCGAGGGAGACTGGTAGTACACTCTATTGCAAAACCGAGCCCTCTTAACGTTAAAGGTAAAGATAGAAAAAAAGACAATGCCCCTTTTACGACAAGGTGCAAAGGAAATCGCACAGAAAGCAGCAGAATTCGGCCAAATCGCGTGGTTAAATCTTCGCCATCTCAGTAGAGTGGGCTGGCTTTGAAGTGCACGCGTGATTCAGTAAACGACTCATGCTAGCAATTAGAAATCGGTCTTTTCGGTCCCCAATTTCATTTGCGCCAAGAGAGAGGCGACTTTTAAGGGTGACGATAAATCTCCCTGAGCTTAAAAGGCAGAGAGGGCCAAAGTGTGAACTTTTTACTCCAGCAACGGAAGCAAGAAATCAGTGATTCATTAAAGCAGAGACCTCCTTGGAAGCTGGCAGAAGAGGAGGAAAAGAAGCTAATTATGTCTCCCTTCTCTGTGCTCACTCCGACCAGTTTATAATCTGCTGCCTGAGGTTTATCCTCAGCATCTTCTGCTTTCTCCCCCAGCGCTCCCCTCCTTCTCGGAGCCAGAGGGGGGAAAAACAGTCAGCCAAGCACCAAGCTCCAGGTGGCTCTCCAGTACTGCACTGCCAAAAGAAGGGGGTGGGGGGAGCCTCCGCTGGAAAACAAGTGAGAAAGGGGCTCCCCAGAGGGGACTGGTTCGGGCTGGAAGACAGCAAACTTCGCAGAGCCGGAGGACACAGCCCGCGCCGGTGGCCAGCGCAGCCAGCACGCGCACCCTTCGCAGCAACTCCCCGGAGCTGGAGGCGCAGGCGGAGGCTGCGGCCGCGGGGCCACAGCGCAGGGACCGGGCAGCCCCTCGCTCCGCGCGCAGGCACCGCGCGCTCGCCTCCTGGCTCCCCTGCTCTCCCCCCTCCCGGCCCCCTCCCCCTCCCTCCCCTGGCTTTCCCAGCAGCCGCGGGTTTCAGATGTCCCACCGCCGTTTGACCCCCCCCCCCCCCCCCCCCCCCCGCTTCTCCACCCCTGCAAATGAGGTTTGACCAGCAGAGGCAGAGCCCACCTCTGGCTTAGAATCACTGACATTTAGACTCCTGGCTGCAACCTGTTTACAAGCGGGCTTTCCAAAGGAAGGGGGTGGGGAGGGAGGGAAATAGGGCCAAACAAAACACCCACCGCCATCTCCCCCCAAACAAGAAGTGACTTTCTGGAGGCTTCAAATCACCAGGCACCACCAAAAAGAGAAAGCAAGAGGGAGAAAGCAAACAACGGCGACCGGCAGCCGCCTCCAGTTCTGACAACTCCGAAGGGACGCGCTGTTACAAAGTGGCGAGCAGGCTGGGGCTCTGAGGGGCCGGAAGGTGCCAACCCCAGAGAGGCGCAGATATCCCCCCCGGCCTCTGTGGGGTCTGTGCACCGCGCTGTCATCCGTGCTTCAGACCTCTTGTTTTTTGTTGCCGTTTTTTTTTTCCTTTTCTTTTTTTTTTTTTTTCCTTTTTCTTTTTTCTTTTTTCCCCCCGCATCTAACATGGTGAAGAAAGGCGTGAAGAAGAGAACAAAGTAACTCCGGGTGGAGTGAGGACCGCTGGTGACCACCACCGCCGCCCCCGCCACCACCAGCGCCTGCTACCGCGGCCACCCACGTCCACCATTCACCCGCAGAGTCGAGGGGCGCACGGCGGCGGCAGCGGGTCCGAGAAAGGAGCGAGCAGAGGCAGCCGGCCCTCGCGAGGAGTTATGGATGTTGGTGTATTCACTTCTGGCCAAATCCGCGCCCAGAGGGAGCTAACCAGCGGCCTCCACCTCCAGCTGTCTCCTTGCCTCGCACCAGGTCTTACCCTTCCAGTATGTTCCTTCTGATGAGACAATTTCCAGCGCCGAGAGTTCCAGTACAATGTGGAAATGGATACTGACACATTGTGCCTCAGCCTTTCCCCAGCTGCCTGGCTGCTGCCGCTGCTGCTTCTTGTTGCTGTTCTTGGTGTCTTCCATCCCTGTCACCTGCCAAGCCCTTGGTCAGGACATGGTGTCACCAGAGGCCACCAACTCCTCTTCCTTGTCCTGGTCGTCTTCCTTCTCCTCTCCTTCCAGTGCGGGGAGGCATGTGCGGAGCTACAATCACCTTCAAGGAGACGTCCGCTGGAGAAAGCTGTTCTCTTTTACCAAGTACTTTCTCAAGATTGAGAAGAACGGGAAGGTCAGCGGTACCAAGAAGGAGAACTGCCCGTACAGTAAGTAACAAATGCGCGCTCCCCTCCTTCCAATTATCCACCCCCCACCCCACAAGGGGGGGGGAAATCTGTTCCAGATGTGGCCAGCTAAATATTTACGTCCCCAACCCCTGTAAAATGATTAAGTGGAATACTTTCACACGAAATCACCCCCCATACGTGGCGCGCCCCCCCACCCGTGGCGCGGCTCCCTCCGCGGCCCCCACTCCTGGCCACCCTATCTGCCCGGTCTCGGCGGCTCGGCGGCACCTGGACCGCGCAGGGCGCTGGAGAGTCGTGGAGGCGCATAGGTTCTTAGATGCCCCCTCTCTGTCCCCATCGCCCCTTCGCACCTCATCCCAAGGTCCCCTCTCCCTCCATTCTGGAAATGGCTCAAGTAAACACATTTTGTTTCTTTTCGCTGGCAATCTTATTAAGAGTTTTGGGACAGCTTCCCCAAGCTGAAAATAATTATCCGCTGTCAATTACAGGGGCTTTATGGGAGCCTTCTTTAAGAAAGAAAAGTCAATTCCACTAGCTCCCCACCCCCATCTCTTTACCCACTACCTATCTAGACAGGAGTGCAAACATTTTTCTGGTTTTGATTTTTTTTTCTTTTTCTTTTTTCTTTTCTTTTTTTTTTTTTTTTTTGGTCCCTCATGTTGGTTTGAGTGATTGCAGTCCGTGAAGTTAGCTTTTCAGGCACCACCGCCGCTATTTGTCTTCTGCCTGCCTTCTCTCTTGGTAACATGATGCTCATGTCTGCATTGTCAATGGCATATGCGCTGCTTTGTGGTGTCCTGTTGTACTCATTTCTTCTGAAACCTCTCATATTGCAGAGCCATACTACTACAGCATTGTAAACATCTGGGACTGGATTCACACAGACCTCACACAAATTTCATTGTCATTCTTTTATTTTCAAAGTAAAAGTCATAAGTCTGTTTCCATGGCTATAGTTTGTTCCATTGGATGAAGTTTTCTGCTCTGTATAAATTATGACCCCCCTACCCACCCCGCCCCATCTCTGCATTTCTTTCCATTTTCCTTTCTCTCATTCTTTCCTTCTTTAGCTCTTTCTCTTCTTTCTTTCTTGCAGGGGTGTGGGCTGGGTAGGGGGAGGGAGAACTAGAGGAGGAGGGTGGATATTGTGTCTCTTCTTGAATCAGTCCAGCAAAGCCAGATTACTCTGTTGGCCTCTTTTCCTAGTTACTTTCAAGTGGTGAGACTTATTCACCCTCTATTGACTGCTATTTGAAAGGAGCCCGAGGCTATGCAAGGGCACACTGAAGACAGTAGACAATGACATTTACACATCTTTAATGACTATTTAGCATTATCTCAATGGTCCTTCCAAGTCACCTTTTTAAGGGACCTTTATGTGTCAGTTGTTTGGGAATTTCTTGCCAACAAACTTAAATACATGGGTCATACATTCCAAGAGAACTTGGCCCAGAAAAGTATCTGGTACCAACAGGAAAAAACAGTTAATCAGAATTTAGCATTTTTTTTTTTAAATAAAGATTTATAAGAATTAAGACTTAGTTTTCTTATCTGGAGATCCAGATACATTCGACATTAACTTCTGCTCCTGTTTCCATTTACTAAAATTAGCAACAGGTTTATAAGTAATAAAAATACTTGTGAAAGTATTTTAAAGTATTCCACCTTACATTTAATACTAGAGCTGTTTCTGTTTCTGATTCATAGAAGGTGGCTGAAATAATGTCATTTATGATTTTTGTTTGTTTTGAAAGTCATTTGTTACCTGAATTCATTAGGTACTATACTATGTACCGGCGTTATAGTTGTTGGTTAAAAATTTAATACTTTTGTTCACTTCTAAAACAAAACAGTCATGGTGTCATCCAATAAGATGATGGGGAAGAAGTGAGCCAAACACATGATGAAGAGTGAGCTGGGAGTTAAAATAATAATAATAATAATAATTCCCATAGATGGAAGCTCTTCTGTGTACTTTTAGTTCATGGAGATAAATATAATACATTTTCTGTTTAAACTCGAGCACAATGCCTTTTTTTTGGACACTAACTTAATTTTGCTATTGGTATATTTTAAGTATCTTTATGATTTATTGCAAGGACCAATCTATACTAGTTTGTTCATACAACTTAAATGACTATTTTCTAAAATAATAATCATGTGTGATTATTTAATAAAATGATCGCTAGGGGTATACATTGAATTATATTTTTTTGAGTAAGATTTATCTGCAAAGAGAAAAGAATGCAATTTTTATTGCATAAAAACTAGTGTGGAAAATTTCCATCCTAATTGTCCAAAATATAATAATATCCCTTCCATATGATAAAGTATACCAATAGTCCTTATTAAAATATAATAGCTCATGTAGTAATGCAATCTTAATCAATGGTTGAAAATGAAAGGGGGTGGGGCTTACTTTGTTAAATAAAGTCAACCATAAATAATTTAGGTTTTCCAAGAACATCTGTATCAAGACATAGCAAGTGAAAAGTAAAGGTTGAAAAAGCCTTAATTTCACATGTGGCTGGGTAATCAGAACACTACTCCAGACTTCCAGCTGGACTGATTCAGCTGAACTACATGGTATCATTAAGATATTGTCTAAATGTTGCATAATTACATGTGAACAAACTTTTGCCATGCCTACAGGGTAACCAGCCAGCCAGCCCACCAAATGGTAGCCTGTTAAATATTAGGGTTTCTGAAGAGTGTCAGTTCCTTGTCCAAAAACCACTTTTCAGTAACATTTTCCTAAACAAGTTATTAATTATTTTCAATACACAAAGCTGTTCTTTTGAGGTTTGCTTATTTGAAGCTTAATTTTCTTTGTTACTTTTGACCCTAGTATTATTGCCGCTAAAATACAGTAACAGCTTATCTGAGAGGTTCCATGTTTGGGATGTCCTGGGTAATTAAACAACTGTTTCACTGGCTTTTTGCCAGCAGAATACTAACAAAAAGGAAGTAAGGAAATCACCCATAAGCACTGCAAAATCATTTTTAACTTCTACCTCCAAAGCTGGCTCCCAGAAATTGGATGGTTCTAAAAATATTATATGTGCTTTGGGTGATTATAAACGTTTATGTGTGTGTGTGGATTTTTTGTTTGCTTTTTGCCATGTGAAAACAGAATCAAGGGAGCAAAGATGAATTATGTTTCTCCTGCTAGAAGTGTAAGAAAGCTTGAATAATTTAGAATAGCTGTGGTGTATCTGTCACTAGATATGCTTAGGCTCATTTAAGTTTGTTTTATCATTCTTTATATCTAGAGCTTTGCCCTTGAAACACTACCACTCTGCTCTAGTTCTGGCCTCCTGGAAAGGCTGGATACAGCTGTTGGGTACCCTTGCAATTGGGACTGGATGTGAGTGGGCTGTGGGCTTCTCCCATGCTTGTCACTGGTAGAAAGGGGAGTCTTGGTGAAAAGACAATGTATCCCTAAACTTGAGACAGCCAAAAATGGATATTCTCAAAATGGAAAGCCACAGTGCTTATGGGTCTTTGTGGGAAAGGAGATTGTGCTACAATAGAGGAATCAGGATGTACTGTGTAGTAAGTGCCCGATTTCTTCAAATACGTATTCGTTTGACACGTAATAGTCCTATAATTTAGATATAACTATCCGTACTTTTTCAAAGATGAAAAATATGCTGAAAAAAGTTAATTACCCAAGGTCATTCAGCTGGAAATTGGCAGAGTCAGGATTCAAGCCTAAATCTATTTGTCTACATTATTTCTTTTACCTCTGCTACTGGCAACATTGATGCCAATATATTAGAATTAAATATCTCAAAACTCTAAGAAACAAATTATCCATAGTCTTAGTTCTTCTTGCTTATGAACACCAACAGTTCTTCAGGTTCAAACTGGAACAGTAGTAAATTGAGAGTGGAACAGAAATGAAATATGTTAAAGGTATCACCGCAGGTGGCTGTATGTCACCAGACAATGTTAATGCATTCTCTAGGTGAAATACGTCTTCTCATACTTTGTTTGGGAATATATTTGCTTAGGGAAACAAAAAATACATGTACACAGATCTCACCTTTTTAACAGAGGGCATTAGAAATATATTTAAGAAAATCCATGAATGTCATTGTATATAGTAACTGTTTACAGCTGAGGACAAAATGTTTAATTATTCCCACATGTAATAAAATAATTTGGTTGTAAATACCAGTGTGAAAGTGGGCTGTTGCAGAAACTTCTGATATATGACTCTAAAAAGGGCAAAATCTTAGAGACCTAAAGCTATATACATGTTAAGAAGGCTTTAAAATGAGTCTGCAAATCAAAAAGGTACTTTTTGTCACATATAAATGACAAATTACTGTCTGGGATTAAAGGTTTGCATTATTACTTTTAAATCAGGACTGGGGCTTATTGGAGGAAGTTATATAAAGTGAGAAAGTTAAGTGTTGAGGGAAATAGGGACTTGAATATCATCTAATAAATTATTTTATTTTGGATTTTAGGAAAGAAAACCTGTACACAACTTATGGCTTCCACCAGTGTCTTATTTAAGTTGTGATTGTTTCTAGAGTTTGGTTGCATAATTTATAACTGGCAGCATTTAATCATGTGCATTGAGGATTTATGAAGATGGAAGGCACTGCATTTAATGTTTACATGACATTGTCCTGTTACCTTTACTGCATTCCTACCATATGGACCCTCCACTTTGATGGCTTTATCATAAATCCATTAAAAATGCACAATTACACAGTTTCCTCTTCATAAACCTGATTTATAACCTTCTACTAGAAGAAACCCAAGAAAACAGTTGGCAGAAATCACATGCCAATACCGGAGTATGAGAATTCAGAAACGCCAATCTCTAGGTAGTCTTGGGTATTTCAGGAATCCAAGAGGCAAATGTATGGACCCCTCTTTAAAAACAGGTGTTTTCAAAATGATGTTTAAGCACAGAATTTAAAAGAAAAATAGTGTCTTATAAAACAAGGGAAACACCAATGCATGCAAATTTTTACTGTCTGGTTTAGAGCAAAAAGCCT